AGACAGGATTCGAACCTGCATCCTATACGGAACTGTCATATACGCTGACATGCCTTACCACTCGGCCACCATGAACCTTATGGTAGACAAGGTCGAATTTACTGTTATAAATCAAATGGAGAAATTTGGAGAATTTTAAATTCTCGGACATTCAGGCCGGTAAATGTTATTTAATACTGTTTATCTTAAACAGAGCATTTGCTTAAATACTTGTATCTATAAAATAACAACGTTAAACATAAATAAAAATGTCTTTAATAAATAAATTGTCGGACCTTGTCCATTTCTTAACATATATATATATATATATATATATATATATAGTTTGTTTATTTGTTTTTGGCTTGGTGTTACATATGGAGGTATTAATTATGGGAGGGAGTTGTGTGTGTGTGCACGAGCGAGTAATATTCGTTCATTTATGTGTTTATTAATAAATTAAGTTTATATTTGTTTCTTTTATTTAAACTTTAAATTACATTTAATTCATGTTTTTATTTATTCATTTAAAGTTCATATTATATTAATTTTATTTATATTTATGTTTGATTAGCACTTAGACGGCAAAGTAAGTATTTATTTATATGCCTACATTTACACATTGTTTCAGTTTTCTTTTTTTTTAAGATTTTATTTTCATTTTTAAAACTAATTTTTCCTCTAAGCATAATTTACAATTTTTACTGTTAATACTGTACGGGCTGCTTTTTTTTTTTTTTTATAATTTCTCCATTTGATTTTGGTTGGGATATTGTTTTCTTTTTGGCTCCATATGTATTTTGATACTTCAATTAAGTAATTTTTTTTTTTAGTTTAACTTTTTTTAAAAAACAACCTAGAAAAAATATTTTTTTTTGTTAGTAGTTTTTACATTTTTTTTTTTTTTTTTAATTCATTCATTTTTATAGCATTTTAAATTTTATTTTTTCAGAAAACATCTTCAAATGTTAGGCTATGACACTATAGTAACTAAAAGTCAAAATATTGCTGAAAATATGTTAATTTGTAAAAGTTACTAGGTCATTAAAAAAAAAAAAAAGTATTCACTTAGATTTTGTAAATCTATGCCAATGTCAATTCTGGTCATCCATACTTAGTTGTGAACACTTTAGCCCACCAATAACGTCAGTCAGCCTATCAGAATAACAGTACTGTGCTTGTATACATTTTTTTATGCTATAAGTAATATTTGTTTCAAATCAGATTAATTTAACTTTAAATTTGCTAATTTTCCTCAAATAACATGTCTCAAATATATATTTTATTTTTGGAAGATTTTTAAAGCTGATAATTAAATTTTGTTTACAAATGTGAGAAAATGGAACTTGCAATCAATTCTGTGAAAGCAAGCAAAAAGTTGACATATCAATCAATATAATCCCTATTTGAAATACGGAGTATTTTGCTTACTGGAAAAAAAAAAAAAAAAAAAAAAAAAAACACACACACACACAGAACTCCATCTCTTCTCCTCTTGGGTATGGATTAAGTAGCTGAGTAGATTTAGTGAAAAACAGTCTAGATTGATTATGTTTAATAGACCCCACAACCTCTTGTGGCTCATTTAGAGCCAAATTGATTGTGCGTTGTAAACATATTTTATAGTTGGTCAAGTATGGATGGGACTAAGTTTTATAGTTCTTCAGATACGGTTGAAGAAAAGTTTTTTTTCAAGTATAGTAGAGAAGAATTTTTATCGTTCATCAGGTATAATTAAAAACAGGTTTTATTGTTTGTCAAGAATGATTGAAGGTAAGTTTTTTGTTTACGTAAACATTTTTTTTAGATTTTTGACAAATTTCAGTATGTTATCTGGTTTAATGTTTTCCAAAAGTTCTAAGATTATTCATTCTGTAATACTTGGTTTGAATTTCCCAGAAACTGCAATATTCCATGTGCCTGACTGTATACAACTCTTGACAAGGTATGCATAATGGTGGGATTTCATTTCTTAATAAAATGTCTGTGAATAACATGTGTATGTCTGTTTGGTTGAATATTGTATAGTTTATTTTTATGATAGTTATGGAATAACTTGCTATTTTTTTTTAATAATCTTATTAATGGTTGGTCAGAGATCATTGTATTAGATTTTTGTATTTGATAGTTCCATATTTAGTAACTTCTTTACAGAAAGTCTAGAAGAAAAATTGCTGAATTTAAAATCATGGAGAGAGCAATAGGAAACCACTGTAATATCTTATGCCAAGAAATTATGAAAATTCATTGAAAGGAAAGTGTGGATAATCATGATCACCTACACCCTGAATCAACATGGTATTAAATAGGAGAGAGAGAAAAAAAAAAAAAAAACACACCTAATTTGAATTTGTGAAAAATCATTGATGAGGAAAGTGTGGAGATCCATGATCACCTACAGTTAGCTTAATCAATTATCTGAGCCTTCATATATGTTCCTCTTCATACATGGTTAAAGCATAGCAAATTTTGAAGGGTTTCAACTAATTCGTAAGATTCAGGACATTGCCGATCATGTGTCTCCACAACTTCCTCATCTTTGTAGCTCTTAATAAATTGTCTTTGCTATCTCTCCTAAACCATGGTCCACCATCCATTTACTCACTAGGTAGGTATACTGTTTCCAGGATGCGTGTATTTCGTGGAAATGTACACAACCCTTAAACATTCCCCGCCTGACGTCTTGGATGTCATGAAATGCGCTAGTCCTCGGCACAGAGAAGGACAATCTCGGTAACGGGTCTGAGGTGGTGTTTGGTGCCATCCTTTCTGGAAATACTGACCTTTACTTTCCTTACTAGGTTACATGCGTGATCAATCCTAGAGGCCATTCATTTCTAGCAGCCTGGTCGTCCTTGAGCAACACCACGTTTCCAGGTTGGGTTCATGTGATCTCCACTTGGTGCGTGTCTGGATAGAAGATAGGTATTCTCTTCTCCACCTGCTCCAGAAGGTCTCAGCAAAGATGTTGGACGAATTTCCACTGACTTCTGAGGATGTCTTTGGGTCCATATTCACATTCGTGTGTAAAGAGAACGCTTGCTTTCAGAGTAAGGAGGGTTGCAGGTGTAAGTATGAAAGGTTCGTCAGGATCTGTTGACACAGAGACGAGAGGCCAGGCGTTGACTATAGAGGTGACCTCTGCTAAGAATGTGGTGAGTAACTCATAGGTCAGTCTTTGCTTGTATTGCAAAAACATAGCGTCTAGTATCCTTTTGGTTATGCCGATCATTCTTTCCCAAGCTCCTCCCATGTGTGGGGCGTGGGGAGGGTTGAACGACCAGGTACAACCCTGCTCTGTTAAGTATTTGGTGACAGAGTTTGTATCCATATTTGACTCGATGCCCAACTCCTTAGAGGCACCCACAAAATTGGTTCCGCAGTCAGAACGTATATGTTTGGCGGGACCACGAATGGCGAAGAAGCGCCTGAGTGTGTTGATGAAACTAGAGGTGGTCATGGAGTCGATTACTTCGATGTGGATACCTCGAGTGCTCATACATGTGAACATTACTGCCCACCACTTGCTGTTGGCGAGACCGCCCCTTGTTCAACGCAAGGAAACAGCTGAAGGGCCAAATACATCTAACCCGATATTGGTGAAGGGAGGACTAGTGCTGAGATGGTCAATGGGAAGATCGTCCATCTTTGTGTTTGGGTAGGGCTCCGGAGTTTGACAGGTGATGCAACGGTAAATGTATCGGCTCACACACCTCTTCCCGCCAACCATCCAAAATCCTGCAGCACGGATAGCCCCCTCGGGGAACAGGCGTCCCTGATGTCTGGTTTGTCCATGGTAGTGGCCCACAATCAATGATCCAATATGGTGTTTTCCAGGGATGACGATAGGGTGTTTCTCCCTGGTCTCGATCTCAGCTTTGCCGGCACAGCCCTCGATCCTCAGTAAGCCGTGACTATAAATGAACAGGTTGTGGCCCTTGAGTGGACTGCCTTTTGGAAGTTCTTTGTTCGTTATACTTGAGAGTTCTTCAGTATAGAGTTCCTCTTGCACAGCTCGGATGATAATGTTTTGGGCTTGTAAGAGTTTCTCGACGGTGCTTGTCTTTGGACAGTAGTGGCATCCCCTACATTTGCTGCTTGTGACGGCTTGGTGAAAGATATGAGCAATGTGTATGAGGTTGGCTAGGGCCCTGGTTATTGACAGCCAAGTGGAAAATCTGTCAAAACGTAGGGATCCAAGCTGCAGGCTCGCTGAAGATGTGGACGGTCCTCCGTGTCTGTGCCAGGATCGATTAAGTCATAGCTGGTTTTCTTGGGGTGGCTCTCGCATCCCGATAGGGGAAAAATCACGTGTTTTCCTGTGTCCCTCTTGTCTTCAAATTTTCCAAGTTTGCTTTCCTCATCATGTGCGCTAGAAATTTCAATTGTCACTTCCTGATAAGTATAAGTGTCCTTTTGTTTCCATTTTCTCTAAAACTTAGTCATTGCTTATATGTCTGGTCCATGACATTCTCAGCATCCTTATATACAACCACATTTCTGTTGCTTCAAGTCTTCTTCAGCAGTCACTGCTATATAGGACAGGTATTACAACAGTTCAGTACTGTTTTCTAATGAAATTTTTCTGTTTCTTTACACTTTGCTTAGCTTTTAGAAGGCATCTTTTGCTAGCTCACTGTGACTTTGGAGTTCAGTGTTGAACTTCTGCCCTGTTAAAATACTTCCCAGATATTTAAATTCTTGTACTTGCTTGATTTTGGTATCTCCAATTTGTAATTTGTATGTTGCTAACAATCATAAATTGCAAAGGAAAAATAAAAGTTACATGTTTTCAAGATTAATCCTTTTGATAGGGAGGTAGGTGTATGTGTGTGTGTTTAAAAAAAAAAAAAAAAAAAAAAAAAACACTTAAGTTTTTAATATCTATAAATAGTTCAAGTCATCTGTTAACTAATTTTATCCCATGTCTAAAAGATAATGAAGTCTTTATTAAGAAGAAAAGAAAAAATTTTAAGAAATTGGATCAAATAAGATTAACAGCGATCTATTTTTAAACTTACCAACATCCGACACTCCTCACCCTCCAACCAGATAAGTCTTGGACCAATTTCGGATACATGGATGCTTCACCAGTAGATTTAGTTTGTCCCCAGAAAAACAAATTGCCTGCAAACAAAACACACATCAATATATGAAAAAAGAAAAATTGTTTTTCTTGTTTGTGATCCCCTTACCACAAGCTTTTGAAAGATCAACAACATTATGTTGTTATATCTTTTGAAAGATATAACATAATCACAAAAACTTAAATACCTTGCAAAAAAGACTACTATCAATGTATCCCAAGAGACTAAAGAAAAGACAAATTTTACTCACTTTATGATAAATTTATAAGTTTTTTTATGGGTTAAATAAAATATTAAAAAAAAAAATAAAATAAAATAAAATAAAAAAATAAAATAAAAAAATAAAATAAAAAAAAAAAAAAAAAAAAAAAAAAAAAAATTTTAAAAAAAAAATCACACAATTTTGATATTCTGGCATACCGACTTTTTTTATATAGAAATATTATCTTGTATGTTTTCTAGGTTTATGTTATGAGCATTCAGATGCTCTTTAACATTTTTATTTTTTTTTGCAGATGAAGCCTAACTTCATTGCTTAACTTCGTATCATGTTTTTTTGCTGTTTATTATATTTTCAAAACTCATTGTTTTCTCAACTCCCAGGTGAATCTTCATACCTGTGAGAAAAAGCAAATGACTTATCTACTTACCTAATTCGTTGACAGCAAGACAGAATGTAGAGCCAGCAAAAATCTGAGCTGCTCCTCTATTGGGACCATCAAAGAATTTTAAATGTCTTGGCACTAATTCATCTTTGGGTTCAGAATGTCCCAACCGTCCATAGCCACCAAATCCCCAAGTATAGACCCGTTTTTTAGAATCAAGAGCAATCTGAAAATTAAATTAGTAAATTAAGAAAAAATAAAAAAATTTTTTTAAAAATAAAAAAGTTTTTTAATAAGAAATTTAAAAAACTTAAATAAAAATTTTAAATGAAATATTTCAAAAAAGATAAATTTTTTTTTTAAAAAAATAAATTTAGTTACACCACTTAGGGGATACTGACTTAACTTGTATATTTTTCTTTCAAATTAATTTTAGTTACTTTTTTGCCTGCAGCTACTGTCAGTCTATGTCAACTCGTATAACAGCAGACGAGAAATAAAGTAATAATCAAAACTTAATGATTGACATTGTTTCATCTAATAATAAATTCAATATTATTGCTGCTACTACTACAAGAATGTGTAAAATAACAGTCAAATATGGAAGCAATTGATTAGGAAAAAAAATAGTTTAAATGGTGAGATTCATTTCTTGATAATCATTAATACTAGTAGCTCAAAAGATGGAGAAGCTGTTCTACATAGATAGGTGTCTCAAGGTAAAAGATAAGCATTAAAGCAACATTTTGATAAAGAAATTAAAGTTTGATACTTTTTTATTTTGAGAAAACTGCCATTTTATAGCCTCCCATAAAACAAAAGGCTAGACAGAGATTTTCTAATAAAGCAAATCAAGGCATCATATACAGTAAATGATTTCTGATTATAGAAAAGTTTCTACTTGTATAGGCCATGTAATTCACAAGACTTGGTTTTTAAAGACATAAAACATTTTTTTTTAAGTATTTCCAGAAACCAAATGATAAAATACTATGTTAAATGCATGCAATTTGAAGAACTAAATATTTTCCTTCTCTATAGTCATGCCAAGTTCGTGTTCAAAATATTGGGGGTACTAAAAACAGGTAAGTACTTACTGTATGATTTATTCCGCATGCAATGTTACGGATTTCTACATCAGTGATTGGAATGATATGACCATCTCGGGTCTTTTCAATAAACACATGCACTTTCTTTGGAACGAGGTCACACTTGAAGGACAGTTTGTTGCTGGTTACAAAATATTTACCATCCGAATTGTTTCCTAAGGAAAAAAAAAAAAAAAAAGATTAGACAAGCAATAAAGTTTTAAACTAAAACAAATTCAAAATTCAATACCAAGTTACTTTGTATTTATTTTTCTTGAGAAATTGGATTATTCAGGGTGAATGCAAATGCTGAAGTAGCAAATTGCTTTATTTTCCAAGTGAGGAGAATATTGATAAAATGTGCTAACAAAAAGGTCTTGTGATAAGGTACCATTTTTGCATTATACAGAATATTATTTGCAAATAAATGAGAAACTATTCAATAATTAACATTTAATATACTTGAATTTATCTCTATTGTGAAAATCATAAAAAAAAAGCCACCCTATCAAGCAGGATTTAAACTAGCTTTTACAGAGGGCGCTCTTGATTGGACCTTCATCACAATATGTAGGGATGAGTAGATACAATAAACTACAGAACTCAAAATTCATCTCTGCAATTAAGTATTGCATTAATATTTAAGCTTCCCTTTTAAAAAAAGTTCCAATAATTGTTTTGCTGCCACTTAATTTAAAGACAATTTGATGTACGTAGGTCTTTTTCTTCCCATACAATTACTTTTATTTCATGGGTAACTTTTGCAATTAATTTTGATTATTCCCAAATTACAAAAATTGCTATCATGTAAAAAAAAAAAAAAAAAAAAAGAGAAACTAAACTACAAACAGTCGCAGTAATGAAAACTTGTGGATTCAAAATTTCAGGATTGCATGTCTAGATCCAGATGAGAATGTTTTTAATTTGCTCATGGAGTTGGCCTGATTCCAAAATGGTATGATATGTTGGGCTACAGCCTCTAGGAGTAAAGTTGAAAAGGTGTGATACAGTGGCACACTGACATTCACATTTAAAATTTTTTTTAGGGTGAACGAACACAAATTGGATTGGAAATTGGTTTATTCTTCAGAAGTATTATATCAATGTTGTGCTAACAAAAATTGTTATGATGGGCCATTTCTTCTGTGTTACAATAAAAATCCCAAAATGGATTATTTATAAGCTGTATTGGTGGATTTTACAACTGGTTGTATTATTTTGTGACTATACTTGAGTCAACATGTTTACCATTGGCTTGGTTTTATACCAAATCATGTTGGATTATTTAAAGTAAAATCTGTTTTTGTTTCTACTTGGCCAAGTGGAAAGCAGACCACTTCTTGTAGGGCGAGGAAACTTACTACTCCCCCTTCGTATTCTGAGCAATTATGATATAGATAAACAATATTTGATACCCTACGCTCTCAAAAAGTGTGAAAATAGGTGGCAGCAAACAAAGCATGATGATTATTATTTTATTAAAAAAAAAAGAAAGAAAAAGTTTTACATAATTAGTAGTTAAAATACATTTCATGGCATAAGAAAAACAAACAAACAAAAAAAAAAAAAACTGTTTCAATTTTTTTTTTTTTTTTTTACACTGTTTCACCTCCGGCATTCTCAGGTGATACACCTTGGAATTTTAAACAATGTAAATAATTACATCACAGAAGTATAGACAGATGTTTAAATTTCATGTGCAGATAATTCCCAACTGATGATAATCCAAATTTACAATTGATCAAGAACATATGTGTATTAAAGAGGCATTGGTGGGGGGGGGGAGGTAAAAAGCAAAATAATGGATAGATGGTTATTTTACATGGAAACTAGGAATTCCTGGTTTTATTTTGGCTTGCTTAACACAACTGTTAGGACATCCTGGAAATCTGCATTCAACTTTTATATTTGTAAATCTGCCTGCTTTTAAAAAAGTATAAAGAGTGTCATAGGCAGCTCCACATATCAAGGCAACATGTCAATAAAAACTTATATTTGACAGTTTACCAATGAACTTTGGTTAGAAATTATGTAAACATTAACAGAAACAAGCTACCATATATATATATAATGAAAATGCATGGAAAATAGATTTGCAGTAAAAATGAATGGAAAATCACAAGGTTTTTGTGATTGTCAATGGTTAGGAATGGAAACATGTGTGATTGATAGGACTGTATGTATCTATACTCTTAGTATAAAATAGAAAAGTGCTTACATACCTAACTGACCATATTCTGGACAACCAAATGAATAAAGATTACCACGGATATCTGCCAACATACTAAATTCACCACCACAAGCGACTTTTCGGATTGGAGGACCTTTATAATGAATCTATAGAGGAAAAAAAAAAAAAAAAAAAAACCCTGATCAATAAAATATATATATATATATATATATATATATATATATATATATATATATATATATATATATATATATCTGAAAAAAGAATAAATATTTTAAAAATTCAAAAACTCAATTTACAAACTTTATAGCTTTGGTAACTGACATTCCAAAAGTTATTTTTTTTTTTTGAGCCTAAATTCAAAGTAGAATATTTCAAACTTTGTTTTTCTGTAACTGCAAGATTAACATTGTCCTGGAGATGATAGTTGGAATGACTGTTTAGGATTTTTGGGGAAAATACTCAATTTTTAATTAAAATTCTATTATATTTATTCTAAAAGATTTTACTTTGTAGCAAGTATTTCTACACAAAAGTAAAAAGGTTGTTAGTTTTTAGAATTTTTAAATTTAAGAACCCTCATAAATACACATCAAGCTAACTGAAAACCAAGGTAAATTATGGAGGATGCTAAGTGATATAATTTTTCTTTTTGTCTTTATTCATATTGTCCTTTTACAAATATGTTTTTAGTTATATCTGAATTTTTACACAGACACACACTCATTGTGTGTGTGTGTGTGTGTGTGTGTGTGTGTGTGTGTGTGTGTGAGAGTGAGTGAGTGAGTGAGAGAGATGGCTAAAACATTTGTTTGCTTATTAAGTAGAAAATTTACTTAATAACTTTTACATTATTTCTGGCAATAAATGAACAATATTAACAAATTGAAAATCATTTTACTGATTTGAAGAAAGGCTATTAGATTGGAGACTACAAGTGGCAAATAAAGCTACATTTGAAAGCCCAGAGCTACTAAATTTTGGATTGAATTTTTCACATTAACAGTACAAGCTAGCTCTGGTCACTAATAGTGAGATTCAAAGTTAGTAGCCCAGTATCCAATTTGGTAACCTTTATATAAAGCCAAAAGGTTATAAGAAAATTTTAAAATATTTTACTAAAAGAAGGTAGGCGATATTAGGTTGGCCCCAAAGGTTTTGTTTATCCTTAGGAATATTTGGCTTTAGCTAACTTCATTCATGTCATCTGTCATATACAAGTGGGTATTTTTTTTTTAACTGTATCTTTATTTGTTGATTGTAAAAATGAAGAGAGAATAAGTAATATTTTCTAGTATATTTTATTTTGAAAACTGTTAAAATGCAACTACCCCACCCCCCAAAATCATGCAATTTATGGAAAAGGCAGGCTTTGCAAATAAAATAATTGAATATGTCAAAAATGGTTTGTAAATTTTCATACTAGAGATTCTGATTTTGTGAAACAATTCTCCATGGTTGGGCTGACCAATTGAGGTTGATAGTAATCATATGTGGAAACGTTACTTCAGAATAAGTAATGTTGAATGACAAGAGTGTCAACATACTGAAAGTAACCAAATTAAGCCTTGTGGTAAGAATTACAGACTTTTCTACAGCACAAAATTTGGTAAATAGTAAAAAGCCAAACAACAAAAAAGATAGAAACAAATTCTATGAGTGAATATGTAACTTACTCTGATAGGTGTTGGCACACAGGGACTCTGGTGCCCAATACCAAGTTGCCCCATTTTATTGTCACCACAGGAGAATACTTTACCCTTTTCTGAAATATAGAGAATAGAAAATAAATTTTTAAAATTTGATAAAAAAGGCAATCTTTAATTGAATCATTGAGTTTTCAAAAGACAACTCCACACTTTCCTGATATTCAGGTTGATATTGAACTTTATAAAACAATGTACCAACTTAAGGAAAGTTAACCTCAGAAATGAACAATGAGTATGTATGCATTACTGAATTGTATAATGACCCCCAACTCCAAGAATTGGGTGTTCTGAATATCAAAAATAAGAATGTATGCATAGTGTGGTAGTTATAAGCTTGGGAACAACATGCCAAGTTAAAATCCTAGCTGATTTGTTGCATTCATTTTCGCACAATCCTTGAGAAAGGCATGAATTCATTTTCTTACTCCAGCTATGGTTGATAGATGGATTCATTTTCTACAGCTTAACTCTTCACAGGTTATTTAAAGCCAGAAAATATTTTTTATATTGTAAGAAATTTTATTTTTTGGAGATAATGGTTTATTGATACAAGTCTTACTAATTAACCTATAGTTGGTAGGGGGAGGAGATAAACACATACCTTTCCCAAGGGTTATTTGGGATAAGTGAATATTGCTAAGGCAACAGGAATTGGAACATATTTCAAATAGTAGTCCTAGGTGGGAATGTATAGAAAAGTTAGTTTCCTCTCTTTTGTGCCAGTCTCATTGCTAAAAGCTCTTGATTCATTTTGCTCCGGAACTAATTTTGTCTAAATGCAGATAAATATTTTATTTGTATACGTTATTAAAAAGACTAAAGGGAAGTAATCAGTCATAAATTAACTAACTTAAGTTGATTTACCTCCCTTCCTACTACAGATGAGGGAGGAAATATGGTTGATAATTCTATGTGTCCCTTCCTTCTTTAGTTAGTACGTATGTTATGCCCAGCCAATATCTAATAAATAATGGATTATTCCATTTTGATCGCGTGGACAGTATAGACATCAGAGGTGCTACTTGGTTTCTGTTAGAAAATGAAAGAAGCGCCCTGCCAATACCTCCTAAATAATGGACTGTTCCATTTTAATCAAGAGGGAAGATGAAGAAGAAAAAAAAAAAAATAAAAAAATAATCAAAGACGCCGTTTGATTTCAGTAAGAAAATTCAAACAGGAAAGCCATGAAATTTTTATGAGCACTACTAATAAAAAAAAATTAAGCTGCTTAAGAATTATTCTTTAATTCAAATACTTGAAACATTTAGTAAGGAAAAGGGAACCAATTTTTGAATTTTTCCAAAATGCAAAAATTTTTTTTATTTAATTTAAAATATCACAAGGTAGATTGTTCTTTTCTGGTCAAACTTACATTTGTAAAACAAATTACAGATGGAATTTTAGGACAAGTAAATTTTGGACCATCAACAAACATCTAGGGCCAATGAAAGATTATCTTTTTGGCATTCATAATATCTAAATTAATCTTCTTATGAAAGATTAAGTATTCATTAATATCTGCACAAAGACATTATGAATAAAGACAAAAGAAAAAAAAATCATAGCTAATGATGGACTTTATTTCCCATTGATAAAGTCCCTCAGAGGATGAAATACATCAGCTAAGCTTTCTGTTTGTCTTTATAGTCCTTTCTTTTACAGATATACTCTATCTGAAATTTTATACAAACACATGTTTAATCTTACGTAAGTTTCCAGAAAAATAATTCATCCTTAAAAACAAACCTAATCACAAATTTTAATTCTAATCGTTTAAAACTCAAACATTGATTCAAGTTTAAATTTTAATGTTGCAAATAAAACTATTATGGTATATATGACAATTTAAATTTTCTCACAAATTTATATTATTGTTAGATAAAAGAGGTTTTAGCTATATACAGGTTACATGTAATAGCAATAAAAAAAAATCAAGATTGATTGCTTATCAACATTTTTAAGGTTACTTAAAGCCAGCAAATATTTTGGGGTTGTAAGAATTTTTTAGAGATAATGATTTACTGATACAAGCCCTACTATTTAACCCATAGCTGGGAAGAAAAGAGGTTGGTTCATACCTTTCCCCAATGGTATTTGTAAGTGAATATAACGAAGCTGACTGAAATTGGAATTTGGTTCTCTGATTTCCAATTCCAAGCCGTTATCCATTACACCACCCACACATCCAAGCTTACAGCACCTGGTATTCCCAAGCAGTCACCCATCTAGGTAAAAATTTAAGATAATATCTTAATATCCTGCCAATAACTCAAATAATGGATGATTTTTTTGATCATGTGGGAAGACTGATAAAGGAAGGAAAAAAGAAGTGGGGGGAGAAAAGAAGTGGAAATGCCTTGCCAGTACCTCATAAATAACTCTCCCATTTTGATCACAAGAAAAAAACGAAAATGACATCAAATGCTATCAGTGAAAGAAAGACAAAACAAAATGCAAATGGAAAAGCCATGAAATTTTCACATGTACTACATGTTACTAATAACAAAACATTAAAAGATGACAGTGTCAAGCATTTTAGAAAAACTAAGAAATAAATCTACATGGATGGATTTGATCTTCTGCAGTTATGGCTTTTGTATTTCAAGTAATAATAGCAGCTACCATACTAAAATAGTCTTCCCAAAGTTTAAAAAAGTAAAAGAAAAAAGAGAAGAGAAACGGAAAGAAAGAGAAACGGAAAGAAAGAGAAACGGAAAGAAAGAGAAACGGAAAGAAAGAGAAACGGAAAGAAAGAGAAACGGAAAGAAAGAGAAACGGAAAGAAAGAGAAACGGAAAGAAAGAGAAACGGAAAGAAAGAGAAACGGAAAGAAAGAGAAACGGAAAGAAAGAGAAACGGAAAGAAAGAGAAACGAAAGAAAGAGAAAAGAAAGAGAAAGAAAGAAAGAGAAACGGAAAGAAAGAGAAACGGAAAGAAAGAGAAACGGAAAGAAAGAGAAACGGAAAGAAAGAGAAACGGAAAGAAAGAGAAACGGAAAGAAAGAGAAACGGAAAGAAAGAGAAACGGAAAGAAAGAGAAACGAAAGAAAGAGAAACGGAAAGAAAGAGAAACGAAAGAAAGAGAAACGGAAAGAAAGAGAAACGGAAAGAAAGAGAAACGGAAAGAAAGAGAAACGGAAAGAAAGAAAACGAAAGAAAGAGAAACGGAAAGAAAGAAAAACGGAAAGAAAGAAAACGAAAGAAAGAGAAACGGAAAGAAAGAGAAACGGAAAGAAAGAGAAACGGAAAGAGAAACGAAAGAAAGAGAAACGGAAAGAGAAACGAAAGAAAGAGAAACGGAAAGAAAGAGAAACGGAAAGAAAGAGAAACGGAAAGAAAGAGAAACGGAAAGAAAGAGAAACGGAAAGAAAGAGAAACGGAAAGAAAGAGAAACGGAAAGAAAGAGAAAAAGAAAGAGAAACGGAAAGAAAGAGAAACGGAAAGAAAGAGAAACGGAAAGAAAGAGAAACGGAAAGAAAGAGAAACGGAAAGAAAGAGAAACGGAAAAGAGAAACGGAAAGAAAGAGAAACGGAAAGAAAGAGAAACGGAAAGAAAGAGAAACGGAAAGAAAACGAAAGAAAGAAAACGGAAAGAAAGAGAAACGGAAAGAAAGAGAAACGGAAAGAAAGAGAAAGAGAGAAACGGAAAGAAAGAGAAACGAAAGAAAGAGAAACGAAAGAAAGAGAAACGGAAAGAAAGAGAAACGGAAAGAAAGAGAAAGAGAAACGAAAGAAAGAGAAACGGAAAGAAAGAGAAACGGAAAGAAAGAGAAACGGAAAGAAAGAGAAACGGAAAGAAAGAGAAACGGAAAGAAAGAGAAACGGAAAGAAAGAGAAACGGAAAGAAAGAGAAACGGAAAGAAAGAGAAACGAAAAGAAAGAAAACGGAAAGAAAGAAAAAAAGAAAGAAAAAACTTAAATCTTGCTATTTTTTAAAAATGTCTTTAGCTACACTGTTTATTAACAGCTATAGAATGATGGTCTCAGTAGTTGTAATACTGAAATTGAAATCTGGCATCATGGCTTTAGTCATTCTCCCATTGTCATAATGTAACTTTCTTGTGCCTTTTCTATAAATATGTTCATGGTTATTGTCCAAAATGGGTTTTCCTCTTTTTTTACCTTGATGTTATGAATTTAAGTGTATTACTAGGTTGACAGCAAAGTCTCATCATAAGTTCCATGCTAACAGTTTCTTCTCTTGCACTTCTCTTTCCAGTTACTTTTGATCTTCAATAATTAAAATGCAATGTCATCATTATCTTCTGTTCCCGCTCTTTAATGTTATCTTTTCTCTCATACTCTATCACTCACAGTAACACCTTGCATCTTTAATGGCTTTATTGACTTGCTTGGGGTGAAATGATAGAAAAAGAAGATGAAAAGAAATAAAAGTCATGAGTCATGTCAGTTTGGAGTAAGTGTTTACATGAGTTACTTTCTATGAATCTCTTTCTTGATTTGGTACTATGCAACTTGTGGAGAAGTTACTCCTTAATTTTGGGGGACAAGTACCATGTGCATATGATGATAAACCAAGTTGAGGATCCATCTTAGTTGCATTTACTCCACACTAATGCCCTTAGAAAAGGCATGAATTCACCTCTTCTCCAACCCAATCAACTAAATAGAGTTAAATAGAGTAGCTTTGGTTGGCAATCAGTCTAAAAGAACAACTTTGAATTCAAAACTTCTGAAAAGGCAATGGGAAATTACACCATTATCTTTGCCAAGCAGTTATAGCAATTCACATATAATAATAAAATGAGATGGAGAGCCATGATTACCTGACCATTTTAGATTTGTTTTTGTTAGAAAACTGACATTGAGAGTCAAACTGGATTTTGTTAAACAATTTAAATCATTAAAGTAGTTTAGATGTGGCACAAGGCCGAAAATATGGAGCACCCAGTGAGGATTGAACTCACTACTCAGTTGTAAGTGATTTAGTGAGACAAGTGTGCTAACTATTACAAAACAAAGTGTGCTAATTATTATATGTAATTTTTATTTTGGACTAATTTTGTTGTCCATTAACACATTTCAGCCATTTACTCTGGTTTTTCTCAGATGTTTTTGTGTTCTGGTATGTTGTTGAAGCCATGCACTTTACCCTCTGTACACATTCTACATTTCTGTGTTTTTGGGATTTGTAGTTCATGGGAGCTAATAATCAATTTTTCCAATGTAAGAAAGTGGTGAACTTGGAATTTCATTGGCATATCCTGGAAGATGGGAGCTGGTATGAAGGTCAAAAAAAAAAAAAAAAAAAAAAAAAAATCAAAAAGGAAATAATCCCAAGAACACAGAATGCAAAGAGAGACTACTCAAAGATAGAATACAGAAGACCAGACAGTATTTTAGAGTACTACAGACACCTAAGGAATGTTAGAGGGTACATGGCTGAAGCAGGGTGGAAAGAAAAGACAAAACTGAACAAAAGTACATGCAATGAAATTTGACACTTATTGCATCTCCTACCAGCAGAGAAATACTGCTTCTTCCAAAGCAGACTTTTCTTTTGCATACTGTATTTTATAGTGCATAATAAGAGAAATGTTATAGACAAAAAAAAAAAAAAAAAAAAAAAAAGGGGTTGTCATTTTATACACAAGTACACATTTTCAGAAATTTTTCATCAGTTTAAAAAACATCATCTTATTTGAAGCAGCTCAATTGCAAACACACTCAGCATGGACAGTAGATGATAATAAAACAAAAGTAGGCAGGTGTTGATAATTGTTTATAAAATGGTATAAATCAACAATATTTGGTCTTTAGAAATACATCTAGTGTTTAAAATCATAAGATAAAGTTGGTTTATATTTTGATTTTCTTTTTTCTTTATAAAATCTTCTTCATTCTAAATGAATGACAATATATTTTTTATTTTCATAGCTTAATATATAGAAATATAATAAAGTCATATCAAAACAGAAAAGTAGGATAGATTAATTCGTGCCTTAAAGTGTATTCCTAAATTAGCCCCCTTTCCATGAAAATAATTTTGAAATGGAAATTAGAAGAAACATAGCAAAACATTCTGTTCATTCTTTAATATGAAAATGAAATATTTTGGCAAAATATATTTATGGCATTGAGATTTTAATGCTTAATATGGTAAAAAAAAAAAAAGAAAAAAAGAAAAAAAAAAAAAGAAAAAAAAAAAAAAAAAAAAAAAAAAAAAAGAAAAAAAAAAAAAAAAAAAGAAAAAAAAAAAAAAAAAAAAAAAAAAAAAAAAAAAAAAAAAAAAAAAAAAAAAAAAAAAGAAAAAAAGAAAAAAAGAAAAAAAAAAAAAAAGAAAAAAAGGAAGGTGGGGGTAGGTAGCTATACTACAACGTCACATATGTGAGAATGTAATTTATTCCCAGTTTGTAGCTTCAGAAACACTGGATCGTATTATACTCAAATCATTATATGCAAGAAAATATGACTGTTTTTTTATTATTTTTTGTTTTTGTTTTTTAAATATTTGTTCATATTATTCAGTTTGTGAGACTGAACAAGCACTACTATTGATTGAATTTATTTAAAACAAATATTTTCGGGGGGTATACAAAATGATCCAACAATTATGTAATAAATAACCAAGATGATTTACAGAAATTAACAAATGATTATTAGTTAATTAAAAGTTATTTTCTTGGAATATATCCCCTCAACATCAAATAGATTAAAAAGAAAAGTATTTAAATGTGCATATATATTTTTTTTTTTTTTTTTTTTTTTTTTTTTAATATGGTAATTACTAAGTAATCATTTTTCTCAAATGTTTTTGATATTAAAATAATAAGATTACCAGTTATGAAGAGGGTGTGGTTTTTCCCGCAGGCAGCATCAATGATCACATCATTTGCCAAAGCTTCCACATGGGTTGGGGTGTCTCTGCGTGTATCATCCCCATGCCCCAATTGACCCTTTTCATTGCGACCTTAAAATAAACATACAATAAAAATAAGTGAAAATTTTTTTTTTTTAAAATAACAATAGTCAATCAACATTTTCATGGTTATTAATAAATTTTAATGCCTAAAAAAAAAAAAAAAAAAAAAAAAAAAAAAAAAGGTTTTGAAAAACTTTCAGAAGTTTTATTTGTTTTTGTCCAAAACATTTTGCAGAAAGTCATATAACCAGACACACCGGCTATTTTAATTTATCTCAGATAAAAATAAAATTTGTTTTTCTTAACAAAATTCATCAGTCTATATCTTTATTTTTACTTTTCCTTTGTATATGCATGTGGGGACAGGTAGTTTTCCAATGCAAAAATGATTATTGGCGCTATATGCTGAATTTCTGTAATGAATTATTTATATCCGGACTATTGTCCTGATCTTTGTTGTCATCACAACATTTCAACCATTATGGCCTCTGGCCTTCCTACGGTGTATATCAATCTGGGTAACATACAGGGAATTCTGAATTGAACCCTTCATTTAATCTACAGGGATAGACTTCTCATTCCACTGTCCATATCTAGGGATATCTCATCTAGCTGGTATTTTTAGTACTACTCAGCTATTGCTCACCCACACTGCATATTTATTATTGATAGTGATATATATATATATATATATATATATATATATATATATATATATATATATATATATATATATATATATAATAACAAATGTACATTTATTTCCACACCAGTACAATTGATGAAAGAGAAATCTTTAAATAAGACTTCTACTCAATGAGTAGGACTCCCAAAAATTTCAATTCATGAATGATGAAAAAGATTCAGTCTCATGCCTCTACTCATCTAACCCTTTGCCTGAATCTTATCTTTCTCTCCATTATCTCTCCAATATACATTGTCTATTTTTGCTTTAATCTAAATTTTTATACAAACATGGATTTATTTCCTATACAGAAAAGGAATAAAGAATGTATAAATATTTTCCCTTGCATCTTTTTTCTTCTATCTCTCCATAAAGATATTTTAAAGTTTCACAATTTCTACATCTTTCCAACACTGTCTTCCAAGTTTCCATTGTTTCTTTATATGTTTTGTCTATCTCTTACCCACTTTTCTCTCTCTCTTATATATCTCAAAAGTTATGGGACAATTGCCGCAACACAAAATTTAAAAAAATAAAGTATAAAAAAAATAAAGTATAAAAAAAATAAAGTATAAAAAAAATAAAGTATAAAAAAAATAAAGTATAAAAAAAATAAAGTATAAAAAAAATAAAGTATAAAAAAAAAAAAAGTATAAAAAAAATAAAGTATAAAAAAATAAAGTATAAAAAAAATAAAGTATAAAAAAAATAAAGTATAAAAAAAATAAAGTATAAAAAAAATAAAGTATAAAAAAATAAAAAAAAAAAAATAAAGTATAAAAAAAATAAAGTATAAAAAAAATAAAGTATAAAAAAATAAAAATAAAAAGGAGATGACAATGGTTTCACTCCATGGTGGAAGGATTCTCTTACAGGGTCAAATACACAGATAAGGAGAAACAATCAACCATAACAAACACCAATATATAATTTAATAAGATTTATAACAAGACAATACATTAATGCAAGGCAGTACTTGGAAATGTTTGTTATAGATTTCTGTGTGGAAAGATGTATGCGTTATATATCTGATATGAATACTTAAAGCACACTTTAGTTATTTGCCCGAAATAAAATAGGTCTTTTGCTTTTTTTTTCTTTTGTTCAGTTCACTTTGTCCATGTAGCAATATCTTTTGATATACAATTCTTTCTTCACGGTTATAAGTTTTGACCTGAAGAGCTGGTTATTTACTCTCTTCACATATTATCAAAGTTAAGGTATTCTTCCCAAGTATCACTATATATTATAGTGTCATTAATATATGTGTCTACTCCATGTATATTTCTTAAGCACCGATTCATTAATCTTACAAAAGTTGCTCATGAATTCTTCATGCCAAAAGGTATAACACAATATTGATAACTTCCACTGAGTATTACAAAAGCTGCTATCTGTTTAGTCAGTTAAAGGTACAGCCCAATAACCTTGTTTTTGTCTAACCATTACCCACTTCTCTACACAGGTTTATCCATTTTCTCTTGTTTTCTGACATTTCTCCATTCATACCCACTACACTACCAGCCTTGCTTTTCCTTCCAGCTTAATATGTAGGTTTTGCAGCCAGAAACCATAAATAATTTCAACTCTTCAGAAATAATCATCAAGTAGATACTAGATAGAACGCATAATGATTGTAAACACAAACAAGCAAAATTAATGGTCAGTAAGTTATGTGCCATGTCTGATACATGCTTAGGCAATCATGTATCTTTCGATACATGACTGATGAGGCAGTCCCCCACCTCCCCACAATAGATTGCCATTTCTTTCTGTGGTAAGCCAGTTGCCAGTCTGTCCTGCTATTTAGCCATAGCTGGGGGGAGAAGAAAAGGATTCATACATTTCCCAAGGGTATTAGCACATAGTGAATGTAATGGATTTGACTGGAATTTGAACTCAGCTCTCTATTTTCTCAATCCAAGCCGCTATGCATTACTCCACCATGCCTCCCCTCTAATGATGGTACAGATATGATTAAAAAAAATGTAGAGAATTAACCGATAATATCCAATAACAAAAGAAAGAGTTATGTTCCACACTTACAATGTCAGCCTAAGTTATTAAATCAAAATACAACCAAAGACAGATTTTTACTAAATGGGGCCAAAATAATAAAAATAATAATAATAATAATATTAAAACAAACAAACTTAGAAAGCATTCCTTGAGCATCAAAGGTTTTGATACTTCAATACTGGACAATATTTTATTGATTTAGAGAATATGAAAAGCACAAGATAAACCATGGCAAAAGATAATACCTTGTTTCAACAGTTTAGATTATTGGAAATGATGTTACTAGAGACATGCATTGGAAATGATGTTACTAGAGACATGCATTGGAAATGATGTTACTAGAGAGGCACATTATCAATTGACTTTCTATAGTTTTGAGAGGGCTCCTTCCAAGAGTTGTTAAGACTACTGACTTCTTTTTGTTACATCTACAGTTTTAAGTTATCCTTTCTCTTGTTTAACTGTAATGGAAATAAAATAACTGAGGATTGGGAGATAATATTTAAACATTTCTTCCTTTTAATCAATTCACCCCAAGCAAGGCAATGATGGCTACTGGGAGTGAAAGAGGAGTAAAAGACTTTAGAAGGAACTGGAAACGCATCCTAAGCACGAAACAAGTGATAAACCTCTACTCCTGCTCAAAAGGATTGAGGAGGAGTGTGAAACGGGCGATAAGCAAACCTATCTAATATGTATTGTACACCTAAAGAAAATGAACTGGGAGAATGATTGCTGACATAAAAAATAAATTAGCTCACTACTCAGAAAAATGATACAATTTATCATAGTTTTTTTTTTTTGTTTTAATTAACTATCTTCTTTAATTGGAATGCACATATATTTGTTTCTCATGCATATTGGATTTATCAACCCTATAGTGAGAGCATCAGTGATTTATAAATAGAGTAATTATATAAGCTGTAATAATTTATAGACATTTTGTGACTATGGATTTAAACATTTTTCTTACATGCAAGTTTCAATCAAAAAGCATTTTTAGGTAATACTAACATTAAAACTAAAGTTAATGGTTTGAGAAGTTTAAAAGAGAAAAATATGAGTGAAATTAGGTATAAAGAATTATCTTTATATGAAGTAGTACAAGCTGCAAAGATGGACATGAATTAAAAACCATCTTGGAATATACAAATTTCACTAAATCTTAAGCAACTAAAAAAATTGAAGAAAATAAGTTTCAAAAAAGAAAAGGAAATTTAAAAAAATATTTTATACAGTATTCAAGAATTCTAATATAATTACATTGAAAGGCTTTTTTTTTCCTATGTATAAAAAAATGTAAGCAACTAGTCAAAAATGTGAGTCATATACTACAGACAGGCCACAGCTGGCAAGGTAACATGCACCTGTATTTTTAAAATTTGTCAGTTTGCTTGATAAAATACAATTAAATGAAACTGACTTGATCTTCATGTATCAGGCTCGTCACGGATGCCAGCCAATATACATTGCTTTTGCATAAAAAAAAAAAATACGTTCAAAAATATGGCAAAGAGCTGAATGTCCTCAATACAGTCCATCTGAGACTATTGAAAAAAAGCAAAAGTAGTCAAAAGTCAAACCTCTGCATATTAAACAAAATGAAACTGAAAATACCCCTCAGCTAAAGGATTATTGTAAAGGCAAATTCAGAGATTTATGTTAATTCACTGTCTGATTATAGTGTTTGTATTGGACTTCAAGTCCAATATTTATTGATTTTTCAGATTCATTTCCTAAATGAAATGTTTAGTAGAAAATCCATTGCTTGCTCACTGTTGTTTTGGAGGAATATTGAATTTCCTGTTTGAAGCAATTTCCGCATAGCAATCACTTAATTATCTCCCTTGCATTAATAAGCTCTCCATACAATAATTTAATCTAAACTATTTTTTCCATCAGTAAACACTGAAATTTAATTTTGTAACAAATTATGTAGCACTTATTTTGATTAACTGGATTACTTAGAACGATTACTTCGCTACTTATGTAAATGTAAAAAGTCTTAATTTGCAAAAAGTGACAGCTGGTTACAGAAAAGCACTGTTAATTATTTATGGCTAATTTGTTTAAATAATGTACTGACTATTGTTTTCTTCATGTGGTAATCTTAAGTATAAATGGTGCACTAAAATAAGTAACTACAGTGTAACCCGGATATAAGAGACCCTGATATAAGAGAAACCCGGATATAAGAGATTTTATCTGGTCCCAAATTAGAGCCTGTGTTACCTAAACAAAATAGACCAAACCCGGATATAAGAGACTTCTTCTCCGGTCCCGACAACTCTCTTATATCCGGGTTACACTGTATATTAAATTCTCTAAAAAGTTAGTGATATTTAATTTAATCTCCATGTAGAAAACTTCACACTATCATAATTTATTTTGAATGACAAGATTTTAGAAAATATTTATTTAGAATATATCTGAATTTCTTCCCCACCCAAAAAAGAAATTAATTGTTTTTTTTTTTGTAGTTAAAATAAATTATATTGTATCTAGGATGCTATTTTTAATTTTAAATTCTGACTTGTCAAATCCAAAGGAAGATAATTCCGTGTTTGCTATGAGAAAATTCTTTACCGTGCTAAATTCAACAATATTTGCCTTTTGGTTTATCTGGTAATTGGATTAAAATAAAAACAAAGAAAAAAAAATCAAAAAGTACAAACCCCAAGTCATGACTTTGCCTTCGGCAGTGATGATCACATTGTGACATGCTGTACAACCAGACACCACAGTTCGTACTCTCACCCCACACAGGTTGGCAATACGATGGGGACCCCATAAGTTAGGGCCGCCAGTGTTTTTTACTGGAAGAAAAAGGAAAGAAAATTAAGAAAAGTAGAAATCAAAATAAATATTCAATTGAGAATATTAATTTTACAATAGGTACACCATAGACTTTTAGCAAATGAGTGTCCTAGAACACTTCTAATCCAGTATCTCGACTGCAGTCACTTTCCCATCATCCCTCTGTCTTTCCTACAAATATTTTTATGGCAGTTGTTCTAATGAGCTCCCCTCCTTGGTACCTTGACCAGATGAATGAATTTTTATGCATAATACTAGATTGGCAGCAAGGTCTTATAGTTTTACTGTTGGAATAGTTCAGTGTAACCATAAGTTTTATTTTAACAGTTTCTTTTCTCACACTTCTCACCTATGAAATCTTTTCTTTTTTTTCTTTTTTGTAGTGGAAATGAAATGCAGATGGAGTAGCAAACCGCTGCTGATAATCGTACCCACCCCACAGTCAGTCAAATAGTCAGCGTTTATGTACAGAAATACAGAAATTTCTGCAGGTTTCTGCATATAAACTGACTTCAAGATTTTTTACTATTTCAAGAATAAATCCAAATAAAGTTGATATTTTTTGCATTTGATACACGGAATAGAAAATATATTCAAATCAGAATTCTAATTCTGAATCACAAGTAAAATATACATTTTTTTTTTTAATACTGTATTTGATGTGAAAATTGTGCAAAAAGATTACGTCTACTCAATGAATAAGATTTGTTAGCTCATAATAAAAATGAAAAAAAAAAAAAAAAAATGTATATAACACCATAATACCGCTAAGCACACAGACAAAATGTTTAAAAAATTTGCATTGTTTATTGCAAAATCAGACTAAAACTACTGCACGGTATAACATTACATCATTTGTTATGGATAATTTCCCTTTGAAGTAAATGGTCTTATTTAATAGCACAATGATTTAGGAATAATGTATTTGTGCCATGCATCTTGTCCAGATACAATTTGTATAGCTTCAATAAATTATAAATTTTACAAGGTTTCACTGATCACTGGAATGAAATTCCAACTATGATTTTGGACCTAAACTTAATCTTTAAACTTGTCTCCTCAAAAAAATAGTAATAATTTGTAAAAAAAAAAAAAAAAGATAAAAAACTGGTGCACTTCAATGAGTTGAGTGTAATTGGCTTGCAATCTGGTTGCATAGAAGGTATGTTTAAGAATGTTGTCTTCAATAAAAACACAACTGCACTTTTCTTTTTTTTTTTAACTAATGACAAGTTACTTGTTCAATTATCTTAGTACATGGCTCTATTCAGTCTTCCTTTTATTATGTCACCCTCTATCAGGTGATGAGAAACAACCCCACACCATTCCTGTAGTCAGGATTCCCTGGTTTGAATTCATTCTACCTCCAAAACTGATATGAACTGAGGCCAACTAAGTCTCAGAGCAACATTTCAGCAGGCATTTGGTTTACATAAATATTCTTTAGTAAATTTCAGAGGGACTTCTACATGAAACTTCTTCAGAAGTGGTACTTTTCAAGCTTTACAACAGTGATTCTAAAACTTTTTTCTTCTCTGGGTTGCATTTTCAGAATGAAAATTTGCTCACACCTCACCAAATTTTAAGTGATTAAAAAAAAAAAAAAAAAAAAAACTGTTAAAAGGAAGATAACCACAGATTCAAAGTCATAGCTTTATTATTGATAACTTCTACAAACAATTCATAATATTTTAAATTTTAATCATTTATTTTTGGCATATTATATTTTTGATTATATTTTTGTCTTTTAATCATTCTGCCTCACCCATTATCCTATTCCGCTGTACCTATGAGACACGCCACAGCATTTAGGAACCAATGCTCTACAAGATCACAAGCCATGTGAGTAGATGTGTTACTGAATATCATTAAGTATAATCTTGTCCCTGATACTTGGCAATCAGCCAAATATTTGTAATTTTTTTTGACAGTTTCTTTGCTATTCTGATTGCAACAAGACTGGAAATCATTTTTAAGGAGCAGTGGATCAAAGAGAATTCATTGTTGAGACATGTTCCTTTTACTTGTGAACTATCAAACCAACAATGCACAGATGAAGCTCAAAACCAATGATTCTATAAAACCTTTATAATCAAGATGTATTACATTATCTCTGAAGCTGTAGAATGTTCATTAGTATTCGGTATTATGATTGTGATGCAGTTAACTAATATACTGTACATTAACTACAACTTAGAACATTCTAAAATAACCTGCACCTATTGAGAACCAACGATCCAGAAACTTACATTTTCCTGTATGTAGAGGTATTGAATATTTTATCTTTAATAATCGTATATAAATGTATTTGTTAAAAGTTTTGTTCATATTTACTAGTGTAAAGATGAAAAATATATGTGGTGTTACTTAGAAGTAAATACTATATACAGAGTCCACCACAATATACCCACTTCAAGAAAGTAAAAACTTGTATGCATATGGTAATACTAAATTTATTCAGACATTATGAGATTAACCAGTTACCTTTGGACTCTACAATCACAAGAAATGCTCAAAGTGGTGGCCTTTAGCTTCCAGACCTTTATTACAAAGGCAAATTACTGTTTGGGCAACATTGGCCAAAGCATCAAGTGGGATTGCTGCACATACATTTTCAATTTCTTATCTCAGGGCCGCCAATGTAGTCGGTTTTCTGCAATACACAACATCCTTTTACCCCCCCCCTCCCTTGTAAACAGTGGTGGACTTTGTATATAACTTCTTTTTGTAGAGGAAATAATGCAATAGGCTGTTTTTTCTTATATATGTATTGAATATTTATTTTTACCACATATCGATATTATTGCTGTGGCGTGATTTTGAGGCTAATACTTACATCTAGATAAATAATACGAATAAACTATTTTTTGTAGCATGTTAAATGCCTATTTTCTCTATTGTATAATTTTAATCTGTATTAAGTAGGGTTTCCTATTGCATTAATTTCCTTACAATGGTCAGATTATGCACACACAAGCAAAATTCCTAATTACACATCAGAATTTTTATTTATTTTATTTTTTTTTCTACAGTGTAGTTTTATTATATCCTGACTCAGCTATGATAGGTCTATAATGGAAAACAGGTTTAAACTCATATTCAAGTTTTCAATATGGAATTCACAAAAGCCTGACATGCTACACTTGGAACAGTGTAAACCAAGAAGGTTTGATATATTCAAGCAATTCAGTAATATTTTTGCTGTCTGTTATGAACCTGTAGACCAGATAGAGATCTTTTGAACCTCATTGCCTGAAATAAGACAATGAAAACAGACTTCGTCATTCAATGGAAAACATATCCTATTAAATAACAAATAATTCCCTCACAAATAATACAATTTACTTTTAACATAGTATTATGGGGGTTAGGATAAGTACAAGCTGTAACTATTAGACTATCAAATACCTCAAAAATAAAAAAATTTGGAGCAGTTTTTTTGAAAGAAAAAAAAAAAAAAAAAAAGAGAAGGTCATATATGGAATCAAATAGTTGTCTGTTGAGGTCCTCTTTGGTAAGGAATGAATCCAATTTTCTCTTCATGGTTTCATTGTTATTGACACAATGTCATCACTAGCATTCCATAATTGCTAATGGATGGGAGGAGAGAGAGAGAGGTGAGGTGGACACTTGGACAAAACATTCTTCCATAATTACCTTAACTGTTCATAAATTGTGATATTAATATCAATAATTGACCACGTGTGACATTACAGGAGATCAGTTGGGAAAAATGGAATTGGAAAACCAGATTCTGAATATGATTGGTAGGTTGCTTTTGAACACCTCTATAGGTTATTTAAATGTTGAAATCTAAATATTTTGCATGCAATTTTATTTTGAGATAATTGTTTTAGTTAGATACCTCCACTTGCTTGCTGAAAAAAGGCATAGCCTAATAAAAAAGGCCCCAAACTTAAAAACAAATTTTTATTCTCAAAATATGTTATTAATCCAATGTATTTTTATTATTTTATTAAATTTTTTAACACTTTCTCGCATGTTCAAAATTTTGTTTACAGCAGCAGTCAATGTAATGTTTACATTGAGTGTTTTTGCGTCTTTTTTTTTCTTCTTCAAGTGAAAAACACTGATTCTGAAATTCTTGCAAAAATCACATAATTGTTGGGTTTTAATGAAACTTTCAGAACTTGTTCACAAATGAATTAAATTTTTTATTTTTATTTTTTTTAAATATAACACTTAATTTGAACAACTACTCATTTCCCAAAATTCTGCCCTGCATCTTAAAAAAAAAAAAAAAAATGTAGAAGAGTTTTTAACTGCTTTTATAAATAAAATTTATTAAGGACACCATTGACTTAAGACAAAAAAAACTTTTTTTAGAAGAATAATGAATTTTTACAAAATCACTTAAAATTCTGCATTACTTCAATCTGGTTGTTATCAAGTAAAAACTATTTACAAATCAAAAATTGAAAAGCCCATTAAAGATCGTTTATTCCCAATATATTTTAAAAAATTTTAATTTATTTATTTTTTTTTTATGTATATAAAATATTACGTAACTTGCCTCTGTTTGAAAGTATGGTTGACCATACACAACATAATCAGAAAGTAAGAGCAATTACTATATTAAATTCAACATTCCCAAAATTACTTAAAATTATATAATAAAGGCACTCATCTGTCCTTTTCTTAAATTATGTTTTAACAGATATAAAGTCTCCATAGAACAACAGTAAAAGGTGTTGACAGATTTTATTGCTTGTCAAGTGATCTACGAGTGACAAGCGACTGTGATAAGCCTATAATCACTGCTACTGTTTGCTTTAAAAATCCATTTCTCTGTTATTTTAAACTTAAAGTAAATATTTTTTTCACATCAGATTATACTTTAAATCAGCTAATATTCCTCAAATAAAGTTAAAAAAAAAAAAAACTATTTTATTTTTGGAAGATTTTTAAAACTGAGAATTAACTTTTGTTAACAAATGTGTCAAAAATGGCCAATTTTGTGAAAGCAACCAAAAAGTTG